ACCACCACCACTACCACCAACACCAACACGACGACGACGACGACGACGACGACGACCACCACCACCACCACCACCACCACCACGACTACTACTACTACTACTACTACTACTACGACGACGACTACTACTACTACTGCTCCTCCTACTCCTACTCCTACTCCTACTCCTACTCCTACTCCTACTCCTACTCCTCCTACTCCTTCTATTGTTATTGTCACGGTTACTAGAACTTTTTCTAATACCACTAAGTACTTGTTCTTGAAAGCTTGATGCATAAGAACAGCCATCTCCCCTCAGGAAGGAATGTAATTTTCCGACGATACTAGACGCGTGACATGGGCTGCAGTGACCGGCGAGCAGCTCTTCATGCGTTGGCCAGGAAGGATTGACAACTCGCCAACATCCTGATTCTATCTGTGTTGTTTTTCGACGGCACTGGACACACGCTTCCAAACGATCTCAGTGCAGGGCAAGGTGCTGACTCAGGAAACCTCCACTGCACCCAGGGCAGAGTCTTCAGTATCCTGGCTCCGGAGTTAGTTTTTGAACTCGATTCAATTCCTGGTTCTGGGTACTTGTTTGAATATGAGTCACGGGCTCCTGGTGCTGATCAGCATCTTCTTAATGTGGCATCCACAGGATTGCCTTTGCAAACAACAGCGGGGCAAAAGCCCTTCAAGATAAAGTGCTGACTTGCAAACCACTGCACCACTGCCTACCAGGGTACAAACCATGTAACCACATGACCAGCCCCTGGCTTTCCTGCGGTGCTTCCATGGTTCCAGCTCCAGCGTCACTTCTTCCAATGCCACCATCTTCTTTGGATGTCTCCCCCCATCATCCAAGTCGAGGTCTTCCCAGAGGGCTCGGCATGGCTTGCCAAGAGTTCTGGCGTATTTGTTGCCATGTACACGGGTTGGAAAAGGGCAAGATGGCAGCAAAGCTGTTTGTTTTGGCAAATGAGTCTTGATGTCATGTCCACTTAAGTGATCACAGGGACGTGTGCTCAGGCATGCTCATGCCCTTGCAAGAGGTCGCGTGTGAGTGGAGACGTCACATGTGGGCACCCAAGGTGCATCTGCTTAGAGGGCGGCTCTCTGCCTCCGTAACGCTCAGATCCAGCGACCTAAAATAGGCCTGCAGCCCAGGCAGCTTTTCCTGCGCCTGCGGAAGTCTAATGCATGTCGATATCGGCCTCCATGATGGGGTTGTTCAGCTGGCTCTCGAACTGCTCCCAGGTCATGCGGCCAGTCCTTCAATTCAAGGCGCTAATTAGGTGGATCCGCGTCGTGTCTCAACTTGGCCATGTCAAGATGGTGTTCAAATTGACTGGGATGCCGGCTCACCAATGTTCATCTTGGACACAAGCTCGCGCATGCGGCTTACCTCTGCTCGAGTTCACCAGCGCAGCAGCATGATGACACGCCAAACTCGCCCGACATTCCTGATGGCTGCTGGGCACACCACCACTGTCACATTGTTTTCCTCCTGGCACCACGTGACCCAAAGGCTGGGATAGGCGAATGCCAGCTGGACACTGTGATACGATCTGCTCTCATCCAGTCCCGAGCACTTGCCATGGCAGACTCGACGAAGACCCCAGTGATTACGTTGAGCCTCATCATCATTGAGGTGCAGCGATGCGGGATGATGTGGGATCAACAGACCAGTGAGCTGTCTGACTTTGATCCTTTGATAGTGACAGACAGGGTTGACCAAAGCAGTGATGGTTGCAGTAAAGAAGAGCAGGGCACTTTCCTTCTTAGTTGTCTACTAAGGCCCCTGAGGCTCCTGACATGGCAAGCGCCGCAAAGGCAATGTAAACTGCCTTGGCTTCGCCCAAGCCGAACAGAGTTTGGCGATGAGCAAAATCTACAAAGGGCATCAGGCGAGCTGCGAAAACCAAACCCATGAACGGCTGGTGTTGTTCCTTGCATCGGCCAGGCTCTGAAACATGGGAACACTCGAGAACCGGCCCCATGTCAAAACATCTGGAAGAAGGCAGCCCTGGCTGGGCTGTGGGCTAGCGGCTGCGAGGCCTCTCGCCAACTCACCTAAAGAATCACTATTTCAGAGAAGGTCTACACAAGGGGCTCGGGAAGCTATCAGACTATCAGATGGCCCCAGCACGAGACGCTCAGGAGGCCACTCCACTGGTGATCGACTGGTACAAGGACATAACCTCTGAGCCCAGTCATCGACAGTGGCAGATGGTTGGATTACAGGCCTAATTAATGCAACGGAGGCTTTGAATGCTCAGGCCCATGCAGACCGCAAGAGCGAGCCGTAATACCTGAGTCATGATGCCGAGCAAGGAGCCAATGCAGGTGAGGGTGCCCTGTTGGAAATCGATTCCATCGCGTCAGGGGCCCATACTCAAAGGTCGGTGTCCCCTCCTGGATGAGGTCAGGCCTCCAAATGTGCGAGAATTCTTTTGCGAAGCAAGCGGAATAGCCCGGGCATGTTCTTTCGCACATGCTATCACAAAAGGTGGTCGCATGCTGCAGCAACCACCTTTGGTTGATGCCCATCTAAGTTCAGCACGATTCCAGGCCCACATCTGCAACGACTTGGGTGAAGCAAATGCCCACGACAAAGATCCTCCGTTCGTAACAGAAGTCAACTGATGCCTGGCAAGGCCTTGCACCCTCGTACATTACATTGAGGACTGAGCAGCAACAGCAGCAAAACCACCGTCCATAGAAGTGACGTCATCCTTGCAAGCTGCATGACCACAAGACAGCCAACTATGCGACAAGGTGCTTCACAGACTAACTGGCTGCGTGCTGCCGAGGGGCGTTGAGGCAATGGACTGTACCAGTGTCCTTCAGCCACCAGCACGAATGTGGATCTTCATTCAGGTCAGCCCTGTATAGCAAAGCCTTGGACCAGCCCAACTTGAAAGAAAAAATCCTGAGTTCACGAATCAGCCGCAACACCCGCACCTGCCGCGCAGTGATCAGATTCCTTTGCAAACTTTGCTTTTGTGCTGCTGTTGCATGAGTGAGGGCTCTGCGACTCCGAAGTCTGGTCGATGAACTCGATCGTTGTCTCTGAGAAGGAAATACATGTTCTAATTTGCAGCATGAGCTCCTTGTGAATGCCTCTCCGCATCAGAGCGCGGCCAGGATTTAAGAAAACACTTCCAACCGCAACCGCTGTGGCTTTATGTCCACAATCCTTTCCGAAACACATGTCAGAAACGCCAGCCGGACAATTCGCACCAAACCTCGGCTTACTGCGCTGCTCGAAATAACATGCTTGCTCAGGTTCTTATCTCCTTTGCATCCTTTGATTAAGGCTGCGGCGGAGGACACGAAGGATCCGCATGAAGCTCAAGTTTACAGACCTGGGCTGACTAGGATACTTTCAAGCAATGGGCCATTCTTTTTCAATCTTTACACAACATTTTACACTGCTCCTCTGCCAGGCTTGTCACGGACGGATGCCAAGGCTCGCCAAAGCCAGAGAGATCTGGGAAGCAGACACGGCATCGGAATTCGCGAAGACCTGGCATCAGCTTTCTCCGCGGCCACCCGCGAGGGAGATGATGTGTTCACCATGCCCACTTATGCTGGGGAATGCGGGATGCTCCCACGACATAATGAGACTGGCAGACCAGCACGGTGACAACCTCCTCGCCTCCAAAGCCAAGACTGCGGGTGACATATGATGAAGACGTCTTGCAGAGTCATGAACAAACTATGTAATCAAGGCATCTTCCGCTTTGAGGCCGGTGCTGAGCTGTAGGAAGACCAGCAGGAAGTCAAACAGATTCCAACGCCACCTGAGGCCCAGTCAAAGGATTCACCAGATGCGCCTTCCAAAGCTGTCCAATCAATCTGCTCGCGTCCATTGAGTGATGGGTTCAATAGGTTCATCGTAGGCGCAAAGCGGGTCTGAATTTCGATTACGCCTCTAAGCCTCAAAGCCTCCATTTTCCCGCCCAGCCGCTGGCACGCCTCTAAGCCTTTAAGCTTCTAAGCCCCTAAGCCTCTATTATCCCGATTGGCTGCCCGCAAGCCACTAAGCCTCTAAGCCTCTAAGCCTGTATTGTTAGGCGGTGAGGCGCTTAGGCGCTTAGGAGCTTATAGGCGCCTACGCGGTTTTACGCTGAATTGAGGGAATTCACGGAATTGAGGCGCTGTGATGCGCTTAGACGCTTAGGCGCTTTTAGACGCTTAGGCGCCCCAAATCCTCAACTCTACGCCCTAATTTCTAAATCCAGAACCGTTACCCTGGGCTGCTCTTTCTCACAGGGCAACGTGAAAGCCTAATAAACTGGCGCTTGCAGATGTCTAGACAAGGTATGTAGAGGTATACATACATACCGTATAGTTAAAGTATGTATATATGTAGGTACACGATGTCTACTGTGGGCTGTTTGGTAGTACTTACATTGGGTCCCCATATAACTAATGCCCACTTTGGGCTATTTGGATCCCTAGGGGATGGGTTTTTCTGTGGTGCAAGCTGACAGCCTCACCACTAGCTCGGTCGGAGGCCAGAGATTCATTCCCAAGATTTGCTGAAATTGAATGGTTTAGGTGTAGGGGTTAGGTTACGCGTTAAGTGTTTAAGGGCTTCTGGAACGGAGTAAGCTGGCCTCAGAAAATGTGAGGGCGGCAAGGGCAGTTTGAAGCGATTTATGTGCTTCATAAGGTTTATGGGTATATAGACGGTTGCATAGAAAATTAATTGGCATGGGTCCAGCACTGGAAGTACTGCGGAACAGAGACCTGTGCTTCTCTGTACAATGCGGTTGTAAAGCTGGTTTAGAGTCCAAGGGTTTAGGGTTTAAGGGTTTAAATGTTTAAAGTTTAGGGGTTTAGGGATTAGGGGTTTAGTGTTAGAGTTTAGAATTTACCCGAATTCCATAACGGTGTCGCACCTAATTTTTGTTTTCTCTCGCTCATTCGTTCCTACAGGCCAGGGCTGCCAGGGCACCATTGCACCCCTTAGCAGACCAAAGGACCAGCGGACCAGAGGACCAGGAGACCAAAGGACCAGCCGACCAAAGGACTAGAGGACCAGGTCGCTTAGGCGCCTTTAGGCGCTTAGGCGCTTTTAGGCGCTTAGACGCTTTTAGGCACTTAGACGCTTTTAGGCACTTAGGCGCTTTTAGGCGCTTAGGCGCTTGTGGGCGCTTTTAGGCGCCTAGGCGCTTTTAGGCGCTTAGACGCCTTTAGGCGCTTAGATGGACGCTCTTCCTGGCACGCCTCCGCAAGCCTCTAAGCCTCTGTTACCGCACCGGGCGGTCAGCACGCCTCTATAAGCCTCTAAGCCTCTATTACCCCGCTTGGCCGCTGGCACGCCTCGAAGCCTATATTACCCCTTTCTGGGCGCCTGGCACGCCTCTAAGCCTCTACGCCCCCAAGCCTTTATTACCCCGACTGGCTGCCGGCACGCCTCTAAGCCTCTAAGCCTTTAAGCCGCCAAGCCTCTATTGTTAGGCGCTGAGGCGCTTAGGCGCTTTTATGCGCTTGGTCCCTTCCGGCCCAGGCAAAGGCGCTTAGGCGCTTAGAGGCTTAGGAGCTTATAGAGGCTGGATCCAAATAAGTAGTCCCGCCTGGCGCCTGCAATGAATAGCTTGTGCTATGTATTGCTATGTCAGGCTCATGTGAGCCCCGAGCCCGGGCTTTGTGAAGAAGTCCACTCGGTAGGCCAGGATTCGGATGACCTCTGTGCACTGCATTCCATTCCGAGATAATCCAGGCAGGAAGCTTGGCATGATCGGCGGATGAGCCATGTTGACAAGAGCTCATACTGCTCCCAGGCTCTCGGGTGCAAATGAAGGTTCTGAAATCCTGAAGATTGAAGAAACACGCTTCTATACTTTTCTCTTTAAAGCAAATTTGGACCAGGCAAAGCCTCCAACTTCAGGCAGATATCTGAAATACATGGCATGCAAGTCAGCTTGGATTCATGCCAGCTCTGCCGTGAAGACCGCGCCCAGGGTGACAGCAATCTCAGAACACCGCTGCAGTGATCGCAGAATATCACAGGGTACTCAAATAGCACAGGCAGTAATTGATGATAATAAGAATAACAATAAGATCAATGCTACTCATTAAGAATTTTAAGAATATTGACAATATTAACAGTAATATCAATAATATTAGTGCTCTCAGCGGCGAGCCCCGCGGATTATTGGAGGCTCAGTGGCGCCCGTCCGCGCGTTCTGGACCTTGTGTCTCGGAAAGTAGAAGCCCAAACAGCGAGCTGCACTGGCTTACTGCAAGTACTTGGAGCCATGCTGCCAGGTCGGCCTGCACTCCCATCCTTGGGGTTTCGGATGACAGTCCCTCTTGATCCTCTTGGGAACACCTTTGAAAGAATGAGGACAGCATGCTGAGCTTGACACAGGACTGCATTCCCCAAGATCGCCAGACCTTGAACCAATCTTGATCTAGCTAGTCAGCCTAGCCAAACGCTAAACGGGAGTCTCTAAGCCGAAGCTGCAAAACGTGCCACTGAATTAGAGAAACTCCCAAAGCTGCGGATGGTCTCTCTTGGAGCAGCGCCCATCACGTAGTCGAAGTACTCCAAACAAACCTATGTCAACAACGCAGAGCTCGCCAGGCCAAACTCATTGACGGAGGCTTGAGTCAGCCACCAGCCAGAGGCATAGCTTCTGGAGGCAGGTGCAGAAGGACTCGCGTTTGCCTCAAGTCAGGCACATAACATGCCGCAGCAGCTGTTGCCATCTGGCAGATGGCATGGCATCTGAAAGATTCAATCGGCAAGAAGAACAAGGTGCTTGAAATTGAAAGCTCACTGCAACGGGCTTGTGGGCGGATGGATGCGGAAAATGCTGATTAATGCTCCACGTCGCCTTTTCTGTCCGAACGAACCCGGCGCAGCAACTCCGCGACTCGCTCTGCTGGTGAAGTCTGGTTACAAGTTACAAAAACTGAACAAATTAGGCTGGATTTGGGGGGGTTGCTACCGGTCTCTTGCCGCACCGATAGCAAAAATGAAGCTCATTGAAAGGGACCCTAAGAAAAGCAGAAGGCTGATGACACCGGCCTTTTCTAAGAGTCCCGAACGCGAAAGGCTGTAGGAGAAAAGCGGCAGCAGCAGCAGCAGCAGCAGCATCAGCACCACCAGCACCAGCGCCAGCACCAGCACCAGCAGGAGCAGGAGCAGGAGCAGGACCTGCCACGTGGCCATATATATATATATATATATAGATACTCACACCCCCCCCCATGATCCACCGAAAAGGCGTTTTGGATGAAACATCGTATTTCAGTTTCAGTTGTGTACATATATGTAGCCACTTCGTTGAGTCAAGGGATCCTGGAATCCAGGATTCATGGTTGTCCATCTGATTGAAAGCAATACGAATTCCAATTGGAATT